TGATTTTAGAGAACACGATCTCACATTTCAGATATCTAGTAAGTTTAGGAGTTACATCTCTTCCCCCTACATCAGTACCAAAAAAGAAAAAAGAACAAACAAACAAAATTGTAAAAAAGAACAAAGGTGGCACACACCTGTAATTCCAGCCATTTAGGAGGCTGAGGGAGGAGGATCACAAGCTAAGCCCAGCCTGGGCCTTTAGGGAGACCCTGTCTCAAAATAAACATTTTGACAGAGAATTTGCCAGGCATGCCCAAGACCTGGGTTCAATCTTCAGTACGAGAGAGAGACACACACACACACACATTTTCAAGTTTCAAAATTCACCACAACGCTACAAATAATCTCATATAGTACGGATACAAGAGTAGACATACAAATGAATGAAATTAAATGGATCATCCAGAAATAAACCCATCAAAGGGCAAAATTAGAACCACTTAGCCTAAAAATCTTTATAGGCTTTTTTCTATGTTTTTGGCTGGAGGGGTTGTTGGGGGGTTGTTTGGTTTTTGCTGTGGTAGGTATTAAACAAAATGCTTCATTCATACAAAAGATGCTCTCCACCACCTATATTCGGATTTTCAGTTCCACAATTGCAACATTTCATTCCATAAAACAGAAGAAGAGGTGCAATGGCCCAAGTAGAAAAGACTGGTTTTACAGACAGGGATAGGCTGGCGGGCATGGTGGTGCATACTTGTAATCCCAGCACTTGGTATGCTGAGGCAAGATTGCCATGAAGTTGCAGCCAGCCAGGGATACCTAGTACAAGGCCAGCCTGGACTACAGACTCATCTGAAAAAATAAAAACCAGCCACATGGTGGTCCACACCTGTAATCTCAGCACTTGGGAGGCTGAGGCTGGAGGATCTCTGAGTTCTAGGCCAGCCTGGGCTATATAGTGAGATCCTGTCTTAAAAAACCAAAATAATAATAATAATGATAGTGAAAAAATAAAAAACAAAAGGCAGAGAAAGACTGAAGAAAGTAGAAACAAAAGAACAAATAAATAGATTGGTTATTTCAAAGTTACTTTCCTTCTAAGGTGGGGACAGGGAGACAGAAAAACAGTAAAACAATTAGCTAACATCAAGTTATTTCAGATTACTTTTGTTTTTGGTACCGGGGATTGAACTTGGCTCCTTGAGCTTGAGCAGCAGGCAGTGAAACCACTGAGCTAAATCTCTGGCCCTCAGATTACTTTTTTGCATAAGGATTAAAGTCAGGGAACTTCATTATTATGCCAAATGAAATAGGCTTGTTGAGCAGTTTGGCTTTTTCTCTAATTCTGATTAGAGAAGAAGATTAAAGAGTTTGTTTTGAACACGACAACTTGGAACTTTAGCAGCAGTGACTCCATTTTTATTCTTATTCTGGTCTGTGAGGTCTTAGTTCAAAACAATGGCTAAAATTTTTATTTACATTGTTTTTCCTCCAGTGGTACCAAAGCAATTCAACAGGGCTGAACAGTCTTTTTAACAAATGGTTCTGGGGTAACTGAATATTCACATGCCAAACAATGAACATAGACCTATTCCTTACACCAAAAATTAACTTGAAGTTAGATCATAAATCCAAATGTAAGTGCTGCTCTTAGAAGAAAATATAGGAGTAAATCTTTCTAACCTCAAGTTAGGCAAGGTTTCTTAGATACATCAAAAGCACATGTGACC